CCCTCTGGTGTGAGATATCGAGATGCTTATTAGACAGCATGACTGTTACACATGCTCACAATAAGAAGACACACTTAAATGTGCAGTTTTAACCCTTTGAGGGGTGTTCTAGTGGAGAAAATATCATTATTCAGCAACTTGGAACAGCCATTTATTTATTTCCCCTTTATTTATCCAGATGAGGCAACTGAAAACAGTTTCCCATTTGCAATGCCACCCTCGAAAAAGAAGGCGAGTTTTGCATTGAAGAGGAGTGGATTAACAATCCACAGATCACAATCAACCACATGATCGACTCTACGCAAAGGAAATTTCTTGCACTGCATGTGGCAAATGGTGGTCATGCCAGATACTGACCCCACCCCACCTGTCTAATCATCATCTTGATAAGACACACCAGTGAGGTGGATGGATTATCTCTGCAAAGGAAAGTGCTCACACAGAGGATTGAGAAATTTGTGAACAATCTTGAAGAAATGTAGTTCTTTAGTGGGCATTGAAAAAAATTCGGATGTTTGAGTTCAGCTCATGAAAAAATAATGGGATGTTGCGTTGATATTTTGCTAAATCTCATTCAGAACCAACCCGATTGTATTACAAAGAACCATGTCAACTACTGTCCTGTAGATGTCTCTCTTGAACCAGTTTAGATTTCCCAACCCTTTCCATCGGCCGATCTCGACATTATAAATTTAACGGTTTCAAAAGTGATTTTTCCAGGACCCCTGAATGATTTTTTTCACGAGATTATTATTCATATTACTGAGTTCCCTCAAACACAAGACTGTCCAAAATCGCTTCCTCATACTGAGTGAGTTTTGAAGTAGGTCAGTTGTACTTTTTAAGCGATTGCTGTGGCTCCCTCCTCCTAACCAGTCATTTTTGAAGCCATTCACAGCTACGGCTGAGATAAAGGATAACAGAATGCGATGTGACTCACAACTTAGTATTGTGTTCTTGCCAAGTGGAAGTCAGCAGTTTGATGATGAAAGGCTGTCTCCACAAGGGGAAAACACAATCTACGCTGTTTTGTGGGGGTGCTCCGCAGTTCATCGTCATTATTTTACATTTGAAGCTCAACGCGCAGCCACCCCGACTCGCTGGGTCATGATGGTAACGAAATCCATATTTGCCATTGGCCCTGCCCAGCAGTAGATGGGATGGAATAACGATCGTGGTTTACTTGCATTAGACGGAGCCGCAGGACCATTTTAGCAAGATTAAAAGTGTGCCATTGTCATTGATTTTTGGACCATTTCACGGAAAAGTTGTAAAAACACCTGCGGTAGAAAATTAAAAAAATAAATGTATTCATAACGTCTCCTTAAATGGTCAAGTGAATACAAGCGATGGCGCTGCTTTTGTAGATGTCCAGTTTTACACAAAGTGTCCTATGCGGCTACTGGAAACGCAAAGATTTGCAATCCAATGAGATTGACAGGTACATCATTACTAGTTGTAAAAGTAGTTTCAGTTAAGCACTCCTTGAAATTGTTAAGATGCTGCACTACTGCTGTAATGTATATTACGAACCTTAGAAATTATGTAGTATTTTGTAAGCCAATGCTCTGTAATAATAATAATAATAATAATAATAATACATTTCAATGATAAGCGCCTTTCAAAACACTCAAGGACACTTTACAATCAAAACAAGAACAATAAATGTATTTTTGTTCTGTAAGGTGACCTTCCAACAGTGATTGGCTGGATGCAGATGGAAGGAGTAACCTCCACACATTGTACCAGGAAAATAAATGCTATTGCTCTTAATTTAGGGCCAATTATTGAACAAGAATTTTGTTTTTTTTCCCCCTTCTGAATCTGTGACCGTTATGTGTGTTCAAGCTTTAAGACTTGAAATTGATTTTTTTTGTTGTTGTTGAAATAATTAGGTGCACCCCAATGTCAGGTTCAAGTAAAATGTTTTTTTTTTCACCAAACTGACCTCAGTCCAATTCTGAAACAACATTTTTTTCCCCCAAACAAATGTATACTCTACCTGCACTTTTGAAGGTGAAGAGCCATCATCCTTAACATTTTACTGAACATCAGTTGTCCACATTACACAAGACCTGGCGTACCCCAGCTAGCTGCTGAATAGCTGCTCCTTTGTGTACCCTATCATCACTTGGGCAAATTGTTTTATTTATTTATTGTTGTATTATTGGCAGAAGGGGTCTGGTTCTGTTGGTCCAGGTGCTGGGGTTGAGGGGGTGGTTCTTGTATTGTTCTGAAATAAAGGCACATAATGAATCAACCAATATAGTAATATTCCCATCCCCAGAATTCTATGAAAAGGAATTTCCTTCACCCGGAACAAAAACCTGTGCATTAACATTTTGACTACGATATTACATGTTACCGGAACTTACGTAAGCGGAAAGTCCACTACCCGTAACCCGGATTGAGACGTCATGCCGCGGGAGCTTAAATACACGCAACGCCCACCCGATGCTACGGAACGACAACACTGAGACACATTTTCACTTCGCGTTTTTCGATCAGCAGATTCGAAACGACGACGTGTAAGTGAGTTTTTATTGGCGTGCGTTTTACTGTAATTGTGAATGATTTTAACTTTATTCATTTAACGTCCTGTAGAACGCGGCACTAGCTTAAAAGCAGCACCCACTCGACACGACTGAAGAAACGTGTTCGCTTCGCCGTTTTCATTCATCAGATTCGAAACGAAGACGTGTAAGTGACTTTTTATTGGTGTGCGTTTTACTGCAATTGCAAAAGATTTTAACTTTATTCACTTACGTCGTGTAGATCATGGCATCCAAACGTAGAAGAACTGTAATGACTGGAGCGGAGCGAGTGAAATGCATCCGTTTGAGCGAATTACCAGACATCGGTGATCAACGGGACAGTTACTTGCAACTAGCAAGAAAACCGAATGGCATGCAGGCAAACATTGTCATAAACCAAAGAATGCATCCAACAAAACAATCCAAAATAGACACATTTTTTTTCCCGAGACAGAAAAAAAATAAACATTAAAATATAAAAGTATTTTACTGTTGTGATTTTTTTGGATACACCTGTATTGCAGTTTTTGTTATATAAACAGTTTTTGGACAGTATATTTTTGTATTTTATTGATTGTGTTGTTACACGTGCATTTTGTCAACATACTTGCAGGTTCATAAAGGACATGTACCATGCTCATTTCCCAAATGAGGAATTTCTGTTATCAGGACAAATTGGACAGCGCAAACACGAGTCTGCACTAGAGAATATTTACTGTACACCGAAAAAAAAAAACAAACACAAACTAATCAGAATAAACAAAGAAAAATAAGCAATTAAACATCCACAATAAAGAGAATAAAGGGAGAAACAAATAATGCACAAATAAATAATAGAGGGCGGCACGGTGATCGACTGATTAGCACATTCGCCTCACAATGCAGTGATCATGAGGTCGATTCTTCCTGTGTGGACTTTGCATGTTCTAACCTTGCCTGCATGGTTTTTCTGCGGGTACTCCGGTTTCCTGCCACATTCCAAAAAACATGCAGGGTTAATGGAACACTTTCAATTGTCCATAGGTCCGAGTGTGAGCATGACCGGATATTTGATGGATGGAGTTTGAATTTTCTTAATGTCGGGTTGTGAAAACAGCTGGATAATGGAGTTCCTATTTTATCATATTGGGTAGAGAGGAATCTGCAGTTATTTTCCTCAACAGGCAGCTGGTGCTGCCTTGAATCCCCACCAATAAAGGTTGGTCAGTTTTACGTAACCCCCTCCCCCAGCTACAGTCAGCAGCAGTGAGGAGACTTCCTTCTACCCTACATAACAGTTCATTACAATTGCATCCAAATCACAACGATGGAAATTAGGCTATGACGTCATTTAGCAACTTCTAGCAAGCCGTAGGACAGCTACTTTCCTAAGTTTTTTTTTAAAAAAGGACAGACTGAGCAAGGACAGAGGTGGGTTTTTGTCCATCCCTTTAATCGTCCTGACCGGCTCAAGTAGTACTGACAGAAACACGTTCAGTCTGTTTTAGGTGTGTAACCCGCCAATAACACTACAGACCGAATGTGACGCGTCGCTTGTCTCGTGCGTGTTCACTGTGTTCGTATGCGGGAGGGAGTGACGTCACTTTGCTTCAAGCGGAGACGCACTAGTCCAAAGAAGCTGACACATCACGAGTCAGTCTGGTGAATGACGGTGGTTATGTTGGCAGCTAAATGCTACACTGTATGCTATTGACACTTAACAGTAGTAAACAATGCAATCCAGCCGGGTAAGAAAGCTGGCTGTGTTGTATGCCTCTCGGTTACAACCCACACAATATGTGCCCCCCCCCCCCCCACACACACACACACACACTTTATTTGGCTGCCTCTGGTTATTCGTGTGCATGCATGTGATATATATATATACTACGTACGTTTTCTAAACTGACGCAAATCGGCCTAAGTTCATTTCAACCTACTAGGGCGAGATGGACAAAAGACAAAAAAATGCCTTGGAACGCTTCAAACGCGCCACTGGTCACCCAACCGCGCATACTGCATTGGGAACGTGCCGGTGAAGCACAGAGAGACGTGGGTGGACTTATTTATTAAATACAACACCCAACAGCTGCTGTGGAGAGGGTTTTTTTCAACAGCCGGCGACATCCTCCGGCCAATGAGGACCGCTTTGGCCAATGCCAGCTTCGACAAGCTGGTCTTCCTCAAGGGGAACATGTCCCTATTGGAGCAGTTTGAGGAGAAGCAGCAAGCGCTTTAAATAATGTTTTATGAATTGCCGGTAACCTCTCTCCCATGGCGTCATGCACGGACACTTTTTTTTGAGAGGGTTTTTTTTGAGAAGCGCTTTAAAAGGAGTGCAACAGACGGGGACTGAGGATGATTATTTTACGAATAAGGATGGAGGGACGATGACGGAAGGGTGCCCAGGTCACAGGTGGGAGGACTGACCGGCACAAAAGGGTCAAGTGCCCATCTCTTTCTCTCACAAACACATATAAAAAAATGTGCGCAACCACATGGAAAGTTTATTAAACACAATCATCTGACGCACCGAGTCACTGCTTACAATGTTTGAAATAAAGTGAAAGAAAATCGAGGTTCACCAAATACTTCAGAACGCTGCTGTGCCACAACCATGGCAAAACTGAGACGGATAAAGAAGCAAACTCGTCGACAGTTGGTCCTGAACTTTACATGAGGTAAACCGATCAGTCATACATGACACAAAATCGATTGTGTAAATCTAATTGCAGTGTTGTAATATAAGCGCGAGCGCAACACACACAAACGCACGCACACAAACACAAGTCAAACAGTGGCAATGTAAAATATTGCAAACACACAAAACAGAATCAAGAAAAACAAATTGACGATTTAGTCCTCCCATCAGTGATGGATAATAACCACATTACAAGGTCAGTAACATTCAAGGAGCTGTTTGAATATTTAGAATGCAAAAGTAAAAGAGTTGATAACCATAATGACAGTCGGCTAAAACGGTAGCACAACATATGAGTATGTTTCAACGCATTGATTTAAAAAAAAAAAAATGCAATGCAAATGGATTAAGTATATATTTGATCAGAGTGCACAATACAAAACATGCCAGGACTGCAACACGGGCCTGAATATTTCCAAATGTACAATCAATTGCTTAAAGTGACATTTATCACCACCAAACGAGTGATACGTACACAGTGATGGCTTTTAAACAATATTATAAAAGCTTTATGTGGGATGGACTGAAATTTTAACAGTTTATACACAATATACCCCCGCATAAAACAAAACAAAAAAATCAGGGATTGTAATAAACCTAGTACCGTAGTTTATATGCTGCAACTTTGTGTACTACAATGCTGCAATACAAAACAAATCATTTGCACACTTACAAAACTAGAATACATTTCGATTTTCATGTTGAGCTCAAGAACGCATAGACTCAAAACTATTAATCCAACCAAGGATAGGGGGGAAAAAAAGCAATCCTACGAAAATAAGACTATAACACAACACAATAATTAAAAAAAAAAAAAAAAACACAATAATTTATTCTAAAAGCATAAATTAACATTCAAATGTGATTCAACACTTCAAGCAGTAGCATAAAAAAAAGTGTGGAGGGATGTGTGGACCATGCTAACCACTGCCAGCATTTACCGGAAAAGGACAGCTGGCAAATGCAATAGCAGTAAAGCTTTGAGCCCCATGTAGATGATTTGACGAGGAGATATTGGAATGAAAGTGTGGGAGAGGCATCATTCAAATTTTTGAAATAAGCTTTTTTTATGACTGTCGAGTAACTTCATTTCTATAAAGGCTCTTTTGCTGCTGGTGAAAACCTGTCAAAGATTAGAAGACATGTTCATATAATATGGGAACTTCTGTCTATTTAGAAAAATAATTAACATTTTGTGTGCTTTTTTTTTTCCTTCCTCCACTGAGTGAAAAATGTGACCACTTTGTGTCACACGGCAGTATTTTTGGTAATTTTCTTTCTTGTAGGTACATCTGCTTGTAACAAATGCTGGTTAAGGCTGTTGTGTCGTAACCGTACTGCCTTCTGATACCACGGCAACAATCACCTGAATTCTTACGGAGTTATTTTTGAGGCGACGTGAATGTCAGGATTACTCCCAGTGCATCAGGCACGGTTAGGACTATAGTTTGGGGAAAAAAGAAAGAAAAAAAAGAGTGCTTCCATCTTAAAAATAAAACCATAAAAGTACTGGCCCTGAGAATGTGTCATGTTTTTCTGAATTGTGAGCTGCTTGAGTCTTCCAATTGTTCAAACCCAGGAATGTCCTTGAATGGTTTTGGTATTGGGGCATTTCCACGAGGATTCCGATTTCAGTGCAACATAGCACATTGTAGCGCAAGCAGCTAGCTAGCTAGCTAGCACAACAACATATCTACCACCATTTGAAGTAGAACTAGCAAAGATACAGTAAATTAAATGAGTACAAGCGTAAACTCAGCACCGTTTCTAAAACATGTCACTACCGATTACCAGCACGATGTCAATGATTCATTTGTTCATCGGTGCGTTGCTGGAGCCCGACTCGTCTATTTCCAGGTGGAGCTCAGCAACACATACACAAGGTGTGAGATAGTGAGATGACTTACATGATGTGTGTGTATTTGTGCATGTGTGTGTGTGTGTGCGTGTGTGTGTGTGTGTGTGTGTGTGTGTGTGTGTGTGTGTGTGTGTGTGTGTGTGTGTGTGTGTGTGGGTGTGTGTGAGTGTGGGTGTGTGCTTGTTTTCACCGGTACAGTCAGACATGCCATACACATCCGGTTGACTGAATTCTGTGCAGTGTTGTGAAAGAAACATTCAGACCGTTTGAGCACAGTCCCTGCTTCGGGGCGGCATGGCTCAACAAATAAAAGCTTTGATCAAGTTGTTTGCGTGGTTCCCCTCTAGAATTCAGAGTGTTGAGGTGGGAACACTTGTGGCGTGTATCGTGTTTGTTTCCCTTCAAGTGCTGCCTCTGTGTGAGAGCACATATGAGCAGCACTGTACCCCAATTGAGTTTGGATTCAGATTCGACCAACAAAAAGTTCAAGATTAAACAATTCCCTCATCTCTGGGAGTTTGCGGTCCCATCGTGTGCTCTTATGTACTTCGGTAGGTTTTGATGATGTCTTTAATCTGCCTTCTGCAGATGGGACAGCAGGCGTTGGACATTTTCTTGAGCTTCAGGCCACAGCTATAGCAGAGACACATGTGTCCACACGCATAGATGACCGTGTCCACTGTGTTCTCGTAACAGATGGAGCACTCATCATAGCGAGGCCCGCGATCCGTTGGAAATGTGGGTGACTTGGGCAGGCTGACTGGAGAATTCAGAGTTGTTCCTGAACAAAGGCAGAAATATGATGTTAAGATGCGCACAAAGCTTTATTCCTAGTATGCTCTAGTTGTAGACGTCATGTTCGCAAAATCCTAACGAAGCAAAAAAATCCCAGATGGCCCATGGCTCAATAATTTGATTTCAAATCACAGGCATTGATGTTCATTTTCAGGGGTTCAAATGTATGTACAATCTCACTGGAGGTTACCCACATGTAAGCTTAACAAGAAGAACACACACACAACATACTGCTGCTTCCGGTTGCTGATGAAGCGAGAGAGCCTGTGAAGAGTGCAGGCCGTTGTTTCGAGACGACTACATGATGTCATCCGCTGACAATTTCAGAATTGATTCTATCCGGTCTCCTGAGGTTCCGACTGAGCCCCTGCTTGTTTCAGCCACGCGAGTGGACCTACCCCCGGGTGAGCCGCAGTAAGCTGCCGAGCAGATGCCTCGGTTGAGGACGGTATCCGAGCTGCTGCTGCCCAGGGCACTTGGAGTTTGCGGTGACGAGGAGGGCGAACTGGGGTTCGAACCGGCCCGTGTGTCTCCAACATGAGTGGAGCCTACAGAAGATAAAAAGAACAGGATTGGCATCACTGTCAGCAAAGCGTGCACTTCCTGGTAGAATGATTCAAGCAGATGTCATCTCGCTTCCGTTTGGGCCGAGGCACTGACATGTTGCCATTGGCAAAACGCATGATGCAATGCAATACAAAGGAGAGCTTGGGTGAGACTCAGGTAGGGGAAGTGATCTCCATCTCCTCCATTTGTCAAAACTGTCCTTGAGTGCAACACTAAACCTTGAGTCAATCCCCTGACAGATCATTAATGTACTCCCACTGGTCTCAACGGATAAATGACAAGCAATATTGTGTGGTGACAAAGAGACCAGTGAAGGTCACAAAGCATGCCAACATTTTAGTTTGCTAAAGTTGGTTGAGCAAAAAGTTGGAAGTTGCCAATAGAAATCCACTGCCCAAATAATCAGACAGGTATGATCCGCTTAATAATTATGGAACATTTAGAAGAGAGGACTGATATCTAATATTGGATTTTTTTTTTTTTTTTTTTTTTTGGGGGGGGGGGTGGTCGGGGAGTGTTCTCTCTTGTCTGGTAGATATGGGAATAGGGAATATACCGTATTTTCTGTACTATAAACCACTTTGGATTATAAGGTACACCTTCAATGAATGGCCTATTTTAAAACTGTTTTCATACATAGGGCGCACCACATTATAACAGTGACTGCGGTTTCGCTACGCATCCACTAGGTGGTGGTTTGCTAAAGAGAATACAATACATTACAATACAGTGCAGTTTTATTTATTTTTTTATGATATAAATTATACGACGTACTATCACGACTGTCACATGTTGATTACTCAGCGAACTGAATTTCCCACACCACTGATTGGACAAGCAATGTAATGTGATCATCTGCAGCGGGCGTGTCATAACTAATTGACATGTTGAGTCGGATGTGTCAACCTCCATGGCAGTGGCTCCGTCGAACACCCGATTCACCGAACCCCTGGGGTTCGATCGAAACCAGGTTAAGAACCACTGATAGAGAGCCTTGCCAACCGCTGCAGCAATAACACAGCCATGAAAACTGGTCACAAACACGCACATGAAACATATAAATACAAATGACATTACAAAACAATTAATGAAAGACAAAAGTTATGAAGACAAGTGATTCAACAAAAAAGGCGCAACAATCTCCTGGGCTCACATCCACAAGGGGCTAAATATCCTTGTTTGTCTCCTTCTTTGTTGAGTCAATAGATAACTATGCTTTTGGTATCATCTTCGTTTCATAATGGCTGCGCAGAGCTCACAAAGTAGTTGTCTTAAGTTACAATTGTTTCTGGCTAATAACCACCACTAGATGGCAGAGGAACACTAACAGGGAAACAACTCAATGGGGAATGTAAAGAAAGTTAGTCTCTTTATATTAGGCGCATCCCATTATAGGGCGCACTGTCAGCTTTTGAGAAAATTGAATGCTTTTGGGTGCGCCGTATAGTGCGGAAAATACGGAATTTTCCGAATTTACCCAGTGAGACTTGACAGGGACAAATGTCAGCTGGAGTGGTTCAGGAATGAGTGACTGTCTCTCAATCCTTCCCCGCAAGTATTATTGAACAAGATCATGAAGATTGCTCCTGATGCTGCGTTAGCAGTGGAAGGATCATGCAATCTGCAGTACTGGTTGAAAAGGCTCAAGTTGATAAGGTGGGACTAAAATTTGGTGTGGCAAATCACAAACGAGATGATCCAGATGAAAGGATCTGAAGCAACGGTATCAAAAAGGCGTGTTGTCGTGCAACAGCACGCGGTGCGCTGCGAGGATCTGAGTAACAGCTGTGTAAAACCCTCTTATCTACATCACCACCTGAACATGAGGCTTGACATATGTCATAAAACCCTGACGGATACTGACACGTTGCTTCTTTATAGGTGAGTTTTTAAAAAAAATTTTTTTTTTAAATTCTATTTCTCAGAAGCCCAGCAGGTTATTATTGTCTGAAACTGACATCATCATAACAGGCAAAGTGGCTTTCTTTTTCCTTGACAATCAAAACGTGCATTACAACAACACGCACGCATAAACACACTGTCAAACTACTTATTCCTACAAGCCCCCAGTGAAGTCATATCAATATCATGAAAGAAAATGATATTATGCTTGAATACAATTGTCATATCTTATACTGTAGATCAAGGGAGCCCAGTAAGTCGATCGCGATCAACCGGTAGCTCGTGAACTGGTCCCAAGTTGATCACGAGGGGCGGAGACGGAAAAAATAAATAAATACATAAATCAACCCAAAAACATTTGTGTGTCTGTGTGCGTGTTCTTGTCTTAGTGCACACTACACTCTTAGCATTCTCTCAGTCTCACTTTCACAAAAAGTTCTGAAAAAATAAAATTCAATTAAATAGCAGGTCACCTTTAACCTATGATGGCGTGTGACCTGCATCATTGGAAGCTGTCAGCGGTCAGCAGTCTGTAATTGCAGCTTGCGATCAGAGCTGTTGCGCTGTATCTATCATTGTTATTATTCTCATTCAGAGTTTGTGTCATGTACAATTCACCCAGGGCACTAGGAAAGAAACAAGATGCATCAATAGAGACAGCATTTATCTGCTATACAGAACATGGTTTGAATTGACGCATTTGTCACGAATGCATAATCTGGCCCCTCCTCCTGTGCAGTAGAATGTCTAGCAACATTCAACATGGCTTCCATTCATCTTCATTGAAATTCAAATTGCTCTTCTGTCAACACAAGGCAATACATCAGCATCGGACAAGAGAAGTTACATATCGGAATGTCAAGAATGTAGAAAGATTACAGCTGCTCAGAAGACAGTGTTTCTGATTTGGTGTTGTGCCAAGTTTTGTTTTTTTTTTTTTTTTTTTGTGGTGTGCTCCTTTAGTTAGTTGTCAAACCAAAATGGAATTTAATTAACGGTGAAGGGAGCATGTTGTCTGTGAGGGATTACTCCATTGACTAATATACATTGTGACATAGTGATTGCTTTGGTGTACAAAAATAAACAAGAAAAAAAGCTAAGTACAATACAGTAGCTTCATGGATCGTGAATTTCCTGAATTCCATCCATTTTCTGATCCGCTTACCCTCTTGAGGGTCGCGGGCGTGCTGGAGCCTATCCCAGCTGTCTTCGGGCAGCAGGCGGGGGACACCCTGAACCGGTTGCCAGCCAATCACAGGGCACATAAAGACAAACAACCATCCGCGCTCACACCTACGGACAATTTAGAGTGTTCCTTTAACCTACCACGCATGTTTTTTAGCTGGAGCTGGACTTGAACCTGGTGCCTTTGCACTGTGAGGTTGATGCGCTAACCACTGTGTGGGAGGAAACCGGAGTACCCGGGGAAAACCCACACAGGCCGGGGGGGAACATGCAAACTCCGCACAGGGAGGTCGCAACTGGAATTGAATTGGTACCTCTGCGCTGTGAGGTCGACGCGCTAACCACTGGATCACCAGGCCGCCCAGAAGTCAAGTATGGTTTTTATAC